AGCCACTGAGCGCTCCGGGGTTGTTCTGGGAGAGGAGAGCCGGCGCGGGTAGGTTGTGCTCACCGAAACCCCCCTCATGCTGCTGTCCTTTTGTTTGCTTTATCGCCTTGGGAGAAATTGACACGTGTTTAGCACTGTTGGAAGGGGCTTTCTTCCCGTTCCGCTCACGGGTCTGGTTCTGCAGCTGGAAGCTGCTGCAGGTGCTGGCATTGCCACTGCTGAGCAGTAACCTTTATTGCTTAGAGCCGTAAGCTGAGCTCAAGGTTAACGTTAAAGCTCTGTTAGAGCGGGAAGGGTTATTACGAATGTCTGCTTCTGACCTGGAAGCATCTGACAAACAACGGTGAAGTTTGGTGCAGCTCTGGGTAGGGAGGAAGGTGTTGCTGTGGCTGTGTAACACATGGTGAGATCTGTGTGCCCCACAAGAGAGTGTGAGGTTCTGTGCTGCCGACTGGTTTCAGGTTCATTTTTCACCATCTGATGCTGGCCATCACCCAGCAGCGCTTTTAAAACAGTGTTTTCTCTTTTTCCAAAGCTCTCCATCAATGCCTTTGACTATAACTGTCACTTGGACCTGATAAAGCTGCTCCGCCAGGAGGGAGAGCTGGTGAAGCTCAGGAGAGCTCGGCAGAAGATGAGTGAACTCTTTCCACTTACCGAAGGTACGGGCTGTTTTCTGCTCCTGCTGCACCTGATGCAGCTTTAGCATCATCTGTGTCAAATGCTATTTCAGTAATGAAGTGGTGTATTTGTGCCAGGTTTCAACGACGTTGTTCCAGGCCACAGAAACCTAAAAGAGCAGATTTAGGACTCTCTGGTGTTAATGGCCAGCACTGAGCTTGGCCTCTGGCAGATGAAGGGTAAATGGGCTTGTTGCCGGGATTTGAGGCTTTGTCCCCAGCCAGAGGCTGCTGCACCGGGGAGGGGCTGGTGCAAGGGTTTGTGCCCCAGCCTCTCCTCTGCCTGTTTGCTGGGTGAGTCCTGCCCGGCCGTGACCTGGCCAGGCTGTGACCTGCTGTCGGCCAGGGGCGGGCAGCCGTTGGCTTGTGCTGCCCCTGCTGAAGGGGTAACGCAGTGGGGGGATGGCAGCACTGAACCAGCCCCGGTTGCTCCCTGAGCAGGACTCGAGCCCAGGCAAACTCCTGCCAAAAGCGAAATTTCAGCTGAGCAGCAGAGGAAACCCAGTGCTGGTGGATGCTGTCAGAAGGCCTTCAAGGGGGTGTTTCTTTTTTGCTCGTAACATAGAGGTAGTGTAAATATTGCAGAGGCTGCTCTTCCCCTGTGCTTTTAGCCTTGGCAAGGGAAGGTTTCCTTCTGTGCACGTGGAAACTTGTAGTCTCTGAAGCCATTGATTCTTTCTGCTCAAGTGTGAGGCAGGTTGTATCTCTCGCTGCCTCTTTGGTTACTGCTACTCACTGACCGTCTGCCCAAGATGCTGATAAGTTGCTGCTTGCAACTGCTGCTCTCTTTCAATAGGAGTGTGCTTGTTCAGTGCCAGTTGGAAAAGGTCTCTACCAGGCTCTTAGATTAGTTGTGAGCAGTTGTGGAGGCTAAAATTGCTCTGTCTTAGCTGTCTCTTCATATCTAAGTCTGTTACTCAAAAGCCTCATAAGAAAAGCCTCAACAAAGGGATTTCAGTTGTTCCTCCTGAGCACTGGTGATGTATTCTGAACTTCTTCCTTTCAGAAATCTGGCTGGACTGGCTGAAGGATGAGATAAAAATGGCTTCTGAAAGCTCGGAGCGAGAGAAGGTTTATGAGCTCTTTGAGAGAGCTGTGAAAGACTACATCTGTAAGTTGTTGAGACGTGCTGTAAAACTTGCTGTGTTGCCTTCAAATCAGGGCTTTCTTTTTGTAGGAAAGCTTCTTCCTTCTGTTACAATGCAGAAATTGGATCAAAAATAGGAGTGTGACGTGAGTCGCAGCTTTTACGAAGCACTGGAGTTCAGGCCAGCCAAGGGCGATGCTTTAAGTGCCACTGCAGCCCTTAAATTCTTCTGAGCCATTGTGTAAGAGGCTTTAAATGCATATTTTGCACTTCTCTCATCTCGGAGCAGCAGGTGTTACACTCACTGAGCAGTGCTTTCTCTGCTGCACGTTAGGAATTCCTTAGCTCTTTCTTTGAAGAAAGGGAATGCTTTCAAAAGGTTCATTTCTCCTCCTGTCTCTGTGTTGGTTAGCATTGTCTGTGCTGCCACTTCCACTGCGTGACAGCTCTTCCAGAACAGCTCGTAATTACTGTCTGGGAGCCAGTGTTCTTGAAGCCATGCTGTGGGACCAGCTCTGATCATCCTTGTCAAAAGCCAGGGGAGTTCGTGGTGTCTCATCTCTCCCTTTGTCAGGAGCTTAAAACTTCTACCTTAAAGCACTGAGTAACTGTGGGCTCTTTGGGGACTGTGGTGAAAACATGAAGCCTGGAGGAGCAGAGAGGGCTTAGTAACATCCAGGTAAATCCCTTGCAGACAAAATGTCACATCAGAGCAGTGGCAGAGCTGCCCTCACAGAGTGCTGGTGATCCTTCAGGAAGAAGGAATGGAGAGATGAAGAGCTCGGAGGTGATACCGTCTGGATCTGCTCTATGGATTGCACTTGGGGGTGGGAAGGACTTCTTCTGGAGCCCGAGATGTGCAATCTTAGTGTCTGTTGGTTGGATGGTCCCTGCTGGGGATCCCTGAACCCGATTTACTCAGAGACTGCTATAGGCAGGAGAGGTGCCAGGCAGCTGATGCTGTTGTAGCACCTCCCTCTCGCCTTTGTGGTTATGCTGCTAAAGCAGTTGCTGAACTGGTGAGTATTGAGGTCTGGAAAGAGAAGAAGGACCCACTTTAATCTGAGTTATTACTCACAGCTCTGCACATGTGCTCAAGAAGAGTGAAGCTGCTGTTAGGGGGGTCTTGATGCCTCTCTCTGATGCAGCTTGTGTACCAGAGGTAGCATATGGGAGTCAATAGGTGTTGGTAGCAATGGCAAGAATGACTTTATTCAGAAGGAAACCGTAGCTGCTGGTGCTGAACCAAGAGCATAGAGTGAAAAGGTTTAACTTTTCTTTGCTACAGTGGATGGTAAAGAAAATGCTCGTGTATTTGGTCTATTTATATGTAGTAAAAGGGGTATTTGGGAAGCAGAGAGTTGCCCGTTTCGTTTTCGAGGCGATCAGGTCGTCTGTTTCTCGTCACTTTGTTCAGGTCCTGAAATCTGGCTGGAATATGCCCAGTATTCAATCGGTGGCATTGGTCAGGAGGGAGGAATCGAGCGAGTTCGCTCCATATTCGAGAGGGCGCTGACGGCAGTGGGGCTGCACGTGACGAAGGGCACGGCGCTCTGGGAGGCGTACCGGGAGTTTGAGAACGCCGTCCTGGAGACAGCACAGGTAGGGCCAGCTCCGGCAGGGAACGGGCCGTGGGGTGGCGTCCGAGTGAGCTTGAGCCTCCTCCTCCTCCTCTGCACTGGGAAGAGAGGCGGCAGTGCGACACGGTTGGTTTCTTCTCAGCTGGAGAAACTGACCCTTTGGTGTGGGGGAAATGTGTGTTTCAGTTGATAGAGTAATGGGTTGGTGTTCAAATAAGATCTTAGCACCTTGTATCTAGAAGCAAAGTTTCACTCTGCTGCTTTAGCTTGAACTGACCAGAATAGCTCCTCACTGAGCAGCTTCATTATTAAACAGTGTTGTTGCCAGTTGGTATTTCTGCACACAGCCGTGTTTATATTCCCAGACTGTTTTCTACTTCAGCTTTTAACTCATTCCTTATTTCACACTTTTGGGGGCTTTTGGCTGTTAGTGTGTTATCCCTGGAACATTCAGTTCTGCTCTGTCTGCAAAAGATACCTTTGCAAGATGGCCATAATGTGAATATTTATGGGTTTGTACTTTACCACGTAAGACAGGGAAGTTAAAAGATGTCCCTGCCCGCAACAGGGTGGCTGTGTGTGTTCTTCAAATATCAAGTAGTCATTTGGAGCCCGGATCCCCCTGACTCTTAACCAATACCCCATCACGTTCAGCAGCTCAGGCTTGAGAGAACTGATTAAACTTCAATGCCTTTGTTTGTAGCCAGCTCCTGGCAGTGTTCCATCTCCCGAGCAGCAGCAGATGCTCTGCAGCCAGCTTGAGAAGATCCACACGCTGTTCAGGCGCCAGCTGGGGATCCCGCTGCTGGGTAAGAGCTGCTGAGGTGGGGTGGAGGAGCTGTTACACTGACCCAGGCTTCAGTCCTGGCTGTTCTTTTGGTAGAGCCACACAGGCTGCAGCTGTAGGACTTGTGTATTCTTTAATCAATGCCATTGCCCTGTCTTTAGGGCCTCTTGAATGGTGCGTGGACCCCATTTGTTCAGAAATATTCTTACTCATTGAAACAGCTTCTCTGTTTCTTCAGTATGTAATTTGAGGCTATTTAAAGTGTGAGCAATCAGCATAAAACATGACCATTAAGAACCAGGAATTCAGCTGTGATGATCACTACACAGAACCTCAGCTGGGAGTAGTACATGCTGACAGCTGGATTGTTAGTATTGTGCCCTTTCTAATTCATACTTTAAACTCCTGGAGTCTCTTGCTCATTTGCTTGTAGGAGAAAGTCAAGTACAGTTCTTTGCCTTCTTCATTTGTACAGTGAAAGAATTTGGGTTCGTCACAGCCTTGGGAAAATCTTGCCGCTTTGGTTTTCTAAATCCAAGTCTGTAGCTGTAATAGAACTTGCCCTGAGGTTCTGTTGTAGTGCACTGTGTAAGACAAGGTGTCTGAACCCTTTAAGCATGCTGTGGAGTGACAGTTCAGATCGAAAGCATAAACAAAAATACAAGGATGTGTCAAACATGGGTTGAAATCTGATTATTTAGTCCAATAAGTGCATTACTGATGGGTTTTCATGTCTGTTCTATAGATATGGAGGCTTCCTATGCTGAGTATGAGGAGTGGTCAGAAGATCCGATTCCAGAAACAACAGTAAAGAACTACAAGAAAGCTCTACAGCAATTGGAGAAGTGCAAACCCTATGAAGAGGCACTGGTAATGCTTTACTTGCACTTCCCTTTAAAAACAAAGACTTAATTGCTTGGGGGTGATTCTTTATCCCCTAAATTTTATCCTTCTAGTCACAGAGGAGCTGAATATTGCCAGGGGACTTTCAGCTGTGAGACAAGAAGCCTCACAACTGGGTAGACTGGAAACTTGAATCTATTGCTTGTGTCAGGCCACCTTAAGCACCCTCCTCTGAGTAACAACTGAGCTGTTTGAGTTGTGCTTTGTTTTGGAGTTTAATTTGTTGTATCCCTGTTTGTTTTACAGCTGGGTGCTGAAACACCAAAGCTGGCAGAATATCAAGCTTACATTGATTTCGAAATGAAAGCAGGTGATCCAGCTCGCATCCAGTTGATCTATGAGAGGGCTTTGGCTGAGAACTGCTTGGTGCCAGACCTTTGGGCACGCTACAATCAGTATTTGGTAAGGAACAAAACCCCAGATGTTTCCAGTTTCATTTTCCTGTGTGTGGTTTGGGTTTATTTTAATGTTATGGCTGATAAAAGACCAGCAGAAAGGACTCAATCCTGGCCCTTAGTTTCTGAAGAACTTGGAAGACTGATTTTTCACCTTGCCTTTGATTTCTTCCTGTTTTCAGTGGTGTGTTTATTGTTTAAATGAGCAGTTGCCCTTTTTCCTTGAGGTGTGCAGAATTAAACTGGGTGTTTGCATCAAGGTTTGTGTTACGTGGCAAAGACTTGACTAGGTGCAACCAGCTGTACAGTGAGCCCTGGCATTGTCTCCAGTAGCTCCTCATCCAGAGGCATTGCTTCCGAGGACGTCCCTCCTTTTCTTCCAGCTCTTGTAGGCAAAGCAGTTCAGTGCTGTCTGGATCACTAGGGAGGCACAGATAAATTAATGACAGTGCTTGTTTGAGGGCTGCCAGTGCTCTCATGAGTGTTTTATGGTGGAGAACAAAACCTAATTTACCAAGAAGCAGAAGCAAACCCAGATGTTCAGTCTGTTTCCACGTGGGCTGGCTAGTGCAGTTTGAGAATCGTGCTGAACTTGAGAGGCAGGGCTTTACATACGGACAGAAGGTTGAGCTATTAAGAGATCAGTGTAACTTGTTACAGGAGGCTTATCTAGGCTGAGTTGCTCTGTTGTCTCTGTATCTTACCAACTTGAGACAGCAGGTAGTGGGTGGCTGAAGTAGGCTATGTGTACACCCTCCTGGTTTTGTTTCCTTTCCTCCCCTCTCAGTGCAGTAAGAGCAGTTAGAAATTTACTTGGTGCCCTTGTTATATGTATCTCATTGGCAGAAAATACCTACCTGGCTTGGCCAAAGTAGATGGTTAGGTATTGCAGACTGATAGGGCATGAAGTTGTTGGTTGGGTTGCTTCTGACTGTGTCCTTTCTGATCTGAAGGTGTTCACTGAGTTTTTAGGGGTATGGAGTTTAAAATACCCATCTTGTCTTAGCTTTTCAAATGTAAAAGTACTTTTATTAAAGGTGTTGCTCTTCATACGCTGGTATTTTGTCTTGGATGGTCTCTCTGCCTGTCAGGAACTTAAAGCTTTATTGTATGGTTATTCCAGGACCGGCAGCTGAAGGTGAAGGAATTGGTCTTGTCCGCTCATGACCGCGCTGTTCGGAACTGTCCCTGGACGGTGGGGCTGTGGATTAGGTATCTGCTGGCGATGGAGAGGCACAGAGTTGATCACAGCATTATTTCTGGTAAAGAAAGACCATCTCAGCAAACCTCCTTTCCAGTACAGAGCTGCTTTTGCACCCTGCATAACGGGTGACAGATGGTGACTTGTAGAACACTGTAGGATTTGTTTTCATCCTGCTGCAGCAGTCTTAAAGCTGATGAAATGTACAGTATCGTGTTCCTAGGGCAGAGCTGCTGCTGCTGCCGAGCAGCTTCAGTTCTGAGCAAGCAAGGAACAACTTTAATTCAGTCATGTTTATACAAACTGGCTTGTAAATTCCCTTCCTAAACCCATTTACCATATGTAGGATTTCTTGTGTTTTCCTGTCTCCAGATACACAAGGTTTATGTATGTCTTTGCTGTATGTTGTACCTTGCTAATGTTGTCAGTATCTGGGAAGTAAATATGTTTGTGTGGGTTTCTCCCCATTTTCTTTCAGAAATGTTTGAAAAGGCTCTGAATGCAGGTTTTATTCAGGCAACAGACTATGTAGAAATCTGGCAGGCATACCTTGATTACCTGAGAAGAAGGGTGGATTTTACACAAGGTACGTATGATATATGTGTGAATAAATATTTAATGTTTTCTATGTACCTCTCTGGTATTGTTAAAAACTGTTTCAGTAGTTTAGTAGTTTAATATATTTCACAAAACCCACGTTCTGGCCAGTTAGTGTCTATAAAATATACGAACTCAGTGGGTTTAAAGCAGCTCCTTGCTGACAGAATAGATTGTGCAGTTGCAAAAATGCCCTGTCTTATGTTTTAGGTGCTTGATCTATTTGTATTGTGCGTGTAGTTTTTTATTTCTGAGTTTTACTGAAGTAATAACATTTAGGCTCCTCCTTCAAAATCATTGTGGGTGATATGGAAGAGGTTTCAGTGATGGGAGATGAAAGAATTGCCTTCAAATAATTCAGTTTTCTTTCTAAAGACTCGAGTAAGGAACTGGAAGAGCTGCGGTCTGCATTTGCCCGTGCTGTGGAGTATTTGAAACAAGAAGTAGAAGAGAGTAAGTTAAATCATCCAATAGATTGTTTTCTCTTGTTGAAAATAATTTTAATGAGACCAGTTCTCCCCATGATGTTTAACTTGTCTTCAAGTGTCTCAAACACTTTAAGAAAGCTACAGATAAACATCTCCTCTCCAATGTGGAACTTGTTTAATAAACGCTTTATTTCCAAGAGCCATTCACAAACAGTTCTTGGTTTTATCCTCAGGATTCAGTGAAAGTGGAGATCCATCCTGCACCATCATGCAGAACTGGGCAAGAGTTGAGGTGAGGTTTCCATCTGCTGTATTTAAATTGCTAGACTAGAGGAAATAAACCCTTTTAAAATGCCAAGCCCCAGCATGCAATCCTCTAGTACTGTGGTATTTTGTCTGGGTGACTTCAGTGAGTAAATCTCTCTTGTTCCACTCCTCTGTCTGGACTGATCAAGCACATAGTGTAGCTTCAGGCTCAAAGAACAACATCCCAGGAAGGAAACCGCATTCTCTTTGAGGGGGTTGTCAGGACTGTTAGTGTGTTGATGCTGCTGTGACTGCAGTATGGTACAAAAGTGTGTGAGTACCTTGGTTAGCAGGGTAGCCATGGTGGCTTGGAACTGAGCACTGAGGCTGTAAACTGCCTGGGATCCTGCCTAATTTAATGCTGCCTACACCAGCCAGTTCCAAAGTAGTACAGATATCGATGTGCTGATGCAGTTGCTGTCTGTGAAGGGGTGTTTTATTTCCTTCCTTTGCCAGAGGCCCATACAGATCAGGATAAGTTCTGTTACCTTTGTGCTGTAGCTTCTCTGGGCCTAACACATGGGGTGGATTGCCATAGTCGCAGTCATTGCAATCCTCCTGGACAGTGTGTGCCTGGATCTGAATGAATGACTTTCCCTTTCTATCCACTTAGTGCAGGGAGAAAGCAGGTTCATCCAGGTGTGATTCAGCTTATGCTAAACCAGTTCTAGTAAGTCAGCTGTGTAATGTACTCATGTAACTCTGCAGGTAGATCAGGTGGATCTCACTTGGGTGTCTTAATCCATTTCCTCTCTTCCCTGCTCAATTTCCTAAACACAAAACCAGTTCTCAGTCTGAGAAGTGTTTGAGTGCTCTATTGGGGATGTTCATGAATAATGACAAAAGGAAAAAAATCAGAAGCAACTATCTCATTTATTTTGTAATGACCAAAAAGGAGCCAGAAGCCAAGGTTGATGTGCCAGGTGGGCAGGGAAGGGTTATTCAGTGGTAGGATTGCATTAGGTGTTCACTCTACAGAGTGGATGTACCTTCTGTGTGCATCATCTGTGGTGGTCTCTTGTTCTGGGGGGTGAGGGGAGGGCAGGAGGGAAATGGTGTTGAACATATCATCTTAAATCATACTGAGTGCTTTGGATGTTGTGTTTCAGGCTCGCTTGTGTAACAACATGCAGAAAGCCAGAGAACTTTGGGACAACATTATGACTAAAGGGAATGCCAAATATGCTAACATGTGGCTGGAGTATTATAACCTAGAAAGGTAAGAGCTTGGCTACTTGGGAGAATTAATTCACTTTTTAGTTTCCTCATTTGTGTAGGACAAGACTTAAATGCTTCATATAGGTTTAGAATATGCTTTTGAGGTTCTTGCAGCAGCTCTGCAGTGTATCTTATACATGTTACAGCAACAGTGCATAGAAGGAGGTAAAACACTTGTGTAGAATGTAGTTAACTGTCCTGTCTTGTGATCTGGATGTGGAGGATTGGCTCCTTACTGCTGTGCTTCCCTCCTGCAGAGCTCATGGTGATACTCAGCACTGCAGGAAGGCCTTGCACCGAGCAGTGCAGTGCACCAGTGACTATCCAGAGCACGTCTGTGAGGTGCTGCTCACGCTGGAGAGAATAGAAGGTAACTATAACTGCACATCATCTAGTTGGTGTACAATGGCAGA